CACACACACACACACACACACACACACACACACACACAAACACACACACCACACCATACCACACCACACCACACAAATGATCAGCATATGTGCCAACTTTAAATCTTAGAGCAGCCATTTTAAGTATGCCTTTCAAATGGCTGTAAGCCAGGAAGACACAAGACAGTCATGAGTTTTGCAGGTGTTCAGCCTTAAGGGGGATACAACCTCTTTGCCTACTACTGTAGAAAGAGTAAGTACATGTTCTTTGCACATGCCTGTCTGAGTCAAAGGTAGCACTGAGGCAATAACACACAGATGCATGTAGGACATACTCCGAAGTGGGCTGCAGAAATGGCAGGTAGGAATGAATGCCTCATGGCCATGGAGATGTTGCTCCACTGAGGGCTTGTTGGGCTCCAGCCCTCCACTACAGTCCCATCAGAAAGTGGTGCCCAGTTGAGTTCTGTGGCCAAAAGATAAACCAGCTGAAGTCATTTTAAATTTTAAGGGCACGATAAAATGGGAAATGAGAATGCCCCAAAATGGAAAGCAGTGGGAAGTGCCCTCAATCAGGAATGTGGCAATCTGGAGTCTGGTCCTGACATGCTATAAGCACATTGTGACCTCATGACAAATGTCTGTACTTCTGTGAAATTTAAATGTCTCTGCAAAATTCACATAAGAGAAAATAGTTACTGTACCAGGCTTTTTCTTTTGGGCCACCAACCCACGCCCAAATCATGTCACAGAAATGTATTATTAGTTTTGAATCCTTGGCCTTAGCTTAGCTCTTATTTTATTCTGTTTCTTTTTATCTATGTTTTGCCTTGGGGCTTTTTATTTTTCTTTCCTTCTGTATGTCTTACTTTCCTGCTGTCTCCATGACTGGCTTCTTTCTCCCTCATTCTCTTCTCCTTTCTTCTCTCTGCCTAGATTTATCTTCCTACTTATTCTCTCTGCCCACCAGCCCCACCTATCCCTCTCCTGCCAACTATTGGTAGTTCAGCTCTTTATTAGACCAACCAGGTGTCTTAGGCAGGCAAGGTGAAACAAATGCAACACATCTTTTCATAATTAAACAAAATGCAACAGAAACAAATAAAACACATCTTTCCACAGTTAAAGTAATATTCCACAGCATAAACAAATATAACACACTTTTCACTAGTTAAAATAATATCCCACAACAGGCTATCAATGTTCCAGCAATTTTATCATTCTATATTTACCTGAAATAGTTGGACCCGTTGCTGACTTTGGTTCCAATGAGGGAATAATAGAAAGCTGCTTCTCTATCTTCCTCTATTGAGTGGCCAACTTATTTTGGTTTGTCTGGGCCTTTTTTTTTGTTTTGTTTTGTTTTTTTGTTTTTCAAGAAAGGGTTTCTCTGTGTAGTTTTGTGCCTTTCTTGGAATTCACTTTGTAGACCAGGCTGGCTTGATCTCACGAGATTCACCTGCCTCTGCCCAGCAACTGAAACTTATTCTTAGTCTCAAAAGTGGAGGTCTGAGCTGGGCGGTGGTGGTGCAAACCTTTAATTCCAGCACTCAGGAGGCAGAGGCAGGTGAATCTCTGTGAGTTTGAGGCCAGCCTGGTCTACAGAGCAAGTTCTAGGACAGCCAGAGCTACGCAGAGAAACTCTATCAGAAAGGAAGAGAGAAAGAAAGAAAGAAAGAAAGAAAGAAAGAAAGAAAGAAAGAAAGAAAGAAAGAAAGAAAGAAAGAA